GCCCAGCCATCGGCCCAGCAGCACTCAGTGGTGTCCCCTAGTGCCACATCCATGGGAGGATGTGGTTCAGGGGGGAAAAGGTGACAGAGCAGAGTGGAGGTCATGAGTGATGGTCAGAGCAGAGGCAAAGGTCACAGCTGATGGTCACAGGTGAAATTCAGAGGTGAAGATCACAGGTGATAGTCATGGGTGATGGTCATGGATGATGGTCAAAGCAGAGGTGACAGTTACAGGTGAAGGTCACAGATGTTGGTCACAGGTGCAGGTCCCAGGTGAAGGTCCCAGGTCACCCAGGCAAGTCAGAACTGCAGCACCAAGATCCGGGACCACCCCCCCGCCCTTCCCGCTCCCTGCTGAGAAGGGGCCATCCTCCCTGCTCATTTCCAGTGAGAACTGAAGGATGATCCCGAATCCCACCACCCCACAGACTCCACACGGAAGAAATGCCAATCTGTTCTAAAAATGCCTGTTCTGGGCAAAACTCTGTAAAAAAGGCATCTGGGAGAAACCCCGGAGGTTAAACACCAAACACCACCCCAAAGCTCCAAAATCCAGCCCCGGGAAATTTTCTGAGCTTTCACACAGAGCTAAGACCAGTCCAGGAAAAACAGGGCCCTATCCCAACAGGGTTTTCATGTGCCACCTGCCCCACTGCCCACACCACCGGGGCCCTAAATATAAACACCCAGCCCCTTCCTGGCTGCTCCAGGAACAGCCTTGGCTTGTTCTCCCTGCAAGCCCGAAATCGCAGCTGCTGGCGGCTCAGACACGTTCAGGGTGGGACCTTCCCTGCCCCCTCCTCCTCCCCTCCCGCTTTTTTTCACGGTGTTTGTGGGTTTATGAATAAGGCATTGACGGTGCCCAAACCTCCACCTCAGAGGGAGAGCTAAAATTAGCACGGAGAATATTCCCTGAGCTGTCAGGACGGAAGACAGCTCCTGTGGGATGCTGGCGATCTGGCAGGCAAAACAGCATTCCCAAAAAAAAATAACAGCCAGGTCCCGTGCTGCACCCCTTGCTGGAGAGCTGGGGGGTTTGCCCACACCCCACATCCCCACTGATCCCAAAAACTCRATTATTCCCCGGAATTTTATTGGAAGTTGGAATATTTGTTGGAATTATGGAACATCACAGCTGTGTTAAGTGGTGCCAACACATCCAAGAAGCTCCTGGGAGCAGAGGAAGAGCCCAGAGTGCAACGAGGGAGCAGGGGCTGAGTTGAATTTCCAGCCCAGCAGAGMCCAAATCGTTTCAGAGGCGGTAAATACGGAGCTGACATCCCTGATCAGGGAGAAAGAGGCGGGGCTGGATGGAGCACGGCGCTGGTATCGGCAAAGAATCGGGGGACAAGAAAAGAAGCTCCATTTCCACCCCAAATGGGATCGGGGAATCCATGACCGGGAGTGTCCGGCTCGCAGGAGAGAGGGAGGGGTCAGTGCGTGTGAAACTCCAGAGGAAATGGATGAGGAGAGCAGAACTTCTCCGGCTGCAGTGAGGGGGGATCGGGATCTGCGGCTCCTCCCGAGGGGCAGCTCCGATCCCTGGGACAGGGACAGGGAAGGGCTGGAGCTGGGCCAGGGCAGGCTCAGGCTGGAGAGCAGGGAAAGGTTCTTCTGTCCCCAGAGGGTGCTGGCACTGCCCAGGCTCCCCAGGGAATGGTCCCGGCCCCGAGGCTGCCAGAGCTCCAGGAGCGTTGGGACAGCGCTGCCAGGGATGCACAGGGTGGGGTTTGTGGGGTCTGGGCAGGGCTGGGGTGGATCCATGATCCTTGGGGTCCTTTCCCACTCTGGATGTTCTGTGATCCTGTTCTGGGATTCCCGAACCCATCACCTGTGATTCCCTCCTGTGGATAACCCGAGCAYCCCTCGGTGCCCACCAGGGCTGGCAGGCACCGCCCCCTCCTTCCCCCGCCCAACCTTTGCTCACATTTCATCCCCTCTGCTCTCATTCCAGGCTTTAATAAAACTTAATCCCAGCATGTCCTGCATTAATTAATGAGATCCCATTCCCAACCACGGTGCCAATTCCTGCAATCCCCGGGTGCCAAGGGCGGGGAGCGGCTGCCGCGACCCCGGAGAGGAGCAGCAGGGCCGGCTCAGCGCCTCCAGGGCCGGCTCAGCGCCTCCAGGGCCGGCTCAGCCCCTCCAGGGTCGGCTCAGCCCCTCCAGGGCCGGCTCAGCCCCTCCAGGACCGGCTCAGCCCCTCCAGGACCGGCTCAGCCCGGGCAGCTCACGCCAAAGGGGTTCATTCAAAGCCCTCCGAGTTTCCCCTTCCCTGATTTCCCCTGGAAGAGCTCCGGTGGGTGGGAGCAGTGAGATCCTGCCAGCCCCCCTCAGCCCTCAGCAGCAGAGCGGGAACCCATCCCTGGAAATTCAGCATTTATTCCCCAAAACTGCTGAGTGAGGACCAACAGGCTGCTGGGATCATCCAATCCATGTACTCCAGGCACAGCTTTTTGCCCCTTCCTTGTTCCTTCCTCCGATCTTCCCCAGAAAAAGGATTTATTTTTCCCTGTTGCAAAGAAACCACTGAACTATTTTTGTTTGGTTGAGTTTGTTGTTTCTTTTTCCCACCAGTGACAAGCTGTGTGAATTCAGCAGGAACGCGGCTGCTGTGCCAGGCCAGAAGCTTTCCTTCCCCTAGAGCTGATTCCCGAACGAAGCCGACACCTCGCAGAGCATCCCCGCGCCGCGGCCGCTCCGCCGCCCTTCAGACCCTTCCCGCTGCCTCTGCTCCTCTCCCGCCCCGCCACCGCTCGGGGTACAAGGACAGTATCGCCGAGGTGACAGGGACAGCATCACCGAGATGACAGGGACAGCATCACAGGGCTGACAGGGACAGCATCAGCGAGGTGACAGGGACAGCATCAGCGAGCTGACAGGGACAATATCACCGAGCTGACAGGGACAGCACCGCCGAGGTGACAGGGACAACATCACTGAGGTGACAGGGACAATATCACCGAGCTGACAGGGACAGCATCGCCGAGGTTACAGGGACAGCGACACCGAGCTGGCAGGGACAGCATCACTGAGGTTACAGGGACAGCATCACCGAGATGACAGGGACAATATCGCCGAGGTGACAGGGACACCATCACCGAGATGACAGGGACAGTAACACCGAGCTGACAGGGACAATATCGCCGAGGTGACAGGGACAATATCGCCGGGCTGACCGGGACACTCTCACAGGGCTCACAGGGACAGCGACACCGAGGTGACCGGAACAGCATCACCGAGCTGATAGGGACAGAATCTCCAAGCTGACAAGGACAGCACCACCGAGGTGACAGGGACAATATCGCCGAGGTGACAGGGACAATATCGCCGAGGTGACAGGGACAGCATCACCGAGCTGACCGGGACCGCGGCGCGGGGGACGCTCCCCGATTTCCCGCTGCCTCCCCGCAGCATCCCCGCGCCGAGTAATTAATTCCGCTCGCAGCAGCGTCTCATCAGCTCCGTCTGCTGCTGGGCGGGGCCCCCGCTCGAGTGCGGCTGTTTACAAACACCGAAAAGCCAATTTAAACCCCATTTAAAGCCATTGTGTCGCGCTCCAGCTGCCCGGGGAGTTTTTGCTCGGCTCCTGGCCCCGCACCAGCCATCGCAATGACAGATTGCCAAAAAGGACGGCGAGGGAGGGGGTGCGGGGCGGTCAGACGACACAGAGGATGAATTTATTCCGTTTATTGTCCCRCTGCCGCCGGGGAGGGAGGTGGGGAGCCCGGGCCGGCGGTGCATGGAGCACTCGGGGAAGGAGAGGTCGGGGAGAATTGGCTGTAATTGGGAGCGATCGCTCCCGGAGCTGTCACCGCCGCTCCCAGCCCCGTCCCCTCCACTGCCGYTCGGCCAGAGGCTCCCGGGGCTGCCCCGAGCACCCTCAAATCCTTCCCAAAAAAAGCTGTGCCTTCTGCAGGAGCAGCAGCGCCACCTCCCCCAGCCGACCCCATCCCCGGAGCTTTTCTGCTCTTCCCCTGCTGCGCTGCCCCGTCCTGGGCCGCCCCATTTTACCTGGGTAAACAATTTTTTTTTTTTTAATTATTTCATTATATATTATTTAATTCTTAATTATGAATTAATTTTCATTATTTATTGGTTTGGGTGGGTTTTTTGTTTCTGTTTTGGTTTTTTTGTTGGTTTATTTTTTTTTTTAAGCCCCTGGCCGTGGATCTGCCTGGATGTGTATCCCTGGGATAAARCTCCAAAGGAAGGGAAAACCAATCCCATTTTCCACTCAAGGCCTGTGCTTGTCTGTCTCACATCAGCCCAGTGATTCCTGGTCCTTAAAATCCACCCAACACCGGCACCAGCCCTGGAATTGAGCCCCTGGGCAATGCCCAGCAGCACTGGGCTCCATGAACGGCATTTTATTCCCAAAAACTTCCCCAGAGTGGGACAGACAGCATCCCTAAGGGAGACAAAACTTCACCAGTGAATGAAGACACTTCCTGAAGATCTCTGGGGATGGGAAGARCTGCAGGGGAGGTGGGATTTGGGAACTGCCGGTCCTGAGTTCAGCCACGGGGGCAGAGACCCAGCAGCAGCTGCTGTTCGGGAATATTTGATATTTCTCAGCTGCTGGAAAAAGAGCCAGGAGGAAAATCCCAGCAGCAGGAGCTGCCACCTCCCCCCTCACCCTGCAAACCACGGGACAGGGAAATCACTGCAAGCGAACCCCTGTGTGGGTTTGCAAACCTCCAAACCAGCCCAGAGCACTCTGGCAGCAGAAATGAAGTGAAAAACCAAGGCTGGGTCGGTCCTTACCCCCCAAAACTTTCTTTAATGCTCAGTCACCAACGCCTGCTCTGGGAATTGCAAAAACCCCGTGGCTGTGTCCCCTCAGAGGGGCACAAATGCCACGGGAACCCCATGGAAAGCAAAGAATCCATCACAAAACCAGGCAGCAAAAGCCCTGAGACCCGAATTAGCACAGAACCTGTAACCCCCACCCCCCCAAATCCCCGGAGCAGCCCCCGGGGCCACGGCCGAGCCTCTTACCTGCGGGAAAGCTGCTACAGGTCCATCCTGGGGGATGGGGAGGAGCCTCAGGTGTTCATGGGGAGAGGGAGCCTGGGGTGGAAAACGAGAGGTGTTGGTGAGATGGGGCAGCTCGGAACGGGTGTGATCACATCCCAGAGACACCCCCAGCCCCCCCGAACCAGGGACTGTACCCTTCCTCCCGTCCACACTTCAGGGATTTTCCCTGCTTGCCCTTTCCCTCCAGATCTGAACCTTCTTGGCTTTTTCTTCACATTTTGGCTTTTTCTTCACATTTCTGTGAAAGGGGTGAATCTCTAGGAATGGCCTGAGCAGACACGGGGGAAAAGGGTCCTGCCCAACCCTGAGCCTTCTCCAGCTGACCCTGGGTCCCTAAGCCCCAACACACCCCGGGCTCCACCACTGACACCGGATCCACCCCACGGCTCCAAACTGGCTGATCACACTGGGATCCCACCCAGTTTGGGTGAGAAGGGCCATCCCACCCCATCCCATGGATCCCATCCCATCCCACCCCATGGATCCCATCCCACCCCAGCCATGGACAGAGACACCCTCCCCTGTTCCAGTGTGGCCACAGCTCCATCCAAACTGTTTTTCCCGACCCTGCTCCCACAGAAGCTCTGGAGCCAGGGGTACAGCAGCTGCAGCTGGGGTGGTGCTTTCCCTCTCCGCTCCCCTCTCCCTGCTCCTTCCTTCTCCTCTCCCCCAGTGCAACCCCCCATGCTCATCAGGGCTGCCAAACCTCCCCAAATCTGAGTTTTTCTGCCCCAGATTTGGGAGGACACGCGCTGCCTGCACAGAGCCACTGTCCCCTGTCCCCTGCTCCACCCTGCTGGCGGCCGGCGCTGCATGTGCGGGCTCGGGCAAGGCACGGAAAAACCGGGTCCGGTAAAGGGAAGGCTCGGAAAAACCGGGTCCGGTAAAGGGAAGGCACGGAAAAAATGGGTCCGGTAAAGGGAAGGCACGGAAAAAACGGGTCCGGTAAAGGGAAGGCACGGAAAAGCCGGCACAGGGAGGGTATGGAAAAACAAGGTCCGACCCGGGGAAGGCACGGAAAAGCCGGATCCGGTATAGGAAAAGCACGGAAAAGCCGGCCCCGGCACAGGGAGGGTATGGAAAAGCCGGGTCCGGCTCGGGGCTGCTCTGTTTTAGTCCTTTTTAATACTCGGAAAACATTCGGAGCGAGCCAGGCGGGACGCGCACATTCCAGCTCCAGAAATAGCTCAGTCCTGCAGAGCTCCAGAGCTCCCCGGGAGATCCTCGGCCTCTCCCAGCGCACGGAGCGGCTCCCGGGGAGGCTCCCGAGGGTCGGGATGGATCCGGGGCTGGGGTTGGGCTGGGGTTGGGCTCACCCCGAGGGCT